CTCCCAGTAGCAAGGCCAGGAGCCCCTAGTAGCTTCTTGTTACTAGTGGCGATGCCAGAAGCCCCTAGTTAGTAGTGTCCTTGCTCCCAGTAGCAAGGCCAGGACCCCCCAGTAGCTTCTTGTTACTGGTAGCGATGCCAGGAGCGCCTAGTAATTAGCGTCCTTGCTCTCAGTAGCAAGGCCAGCCCCTAGTAGCTTCTTGTTACTAGTAGCGATGCCAGGAGCCCCTGGTTACTAGCGTCCGTGCTCCCAGTAGCAAGGCCAGGATCCCCTAGCAGTTTCTTGTTACCCAGTTAGTAGCGTGCTTGCTCCCAGTAGCAAGGCCAGGAGCCCCTAGTAGCTTCTTGTTACTACTAGTAGTAGCGATGCCAGGAGCTACTGGTAGCTTCTTGCTCCTAATAGCGATGCCCTTTATTACTAGTAGTTTCTTGTTACTTGAAGCGGCATGAAGCGGTGCGGTGTCAAGACCAGCATTCTTGTTCCTCATTCATAGTTTATTAGTTTCTCATGTTTTGGTTGTTTCGCAATTGAGCATTGGCGGTTTCCAAATTGCTTTTTTGGTTTGTGCACTGCTTATTCTTGCGTTGGCTGATTCCTTCTCATTTCCTTCCCTTTTGATTTAGTCATTAAAAACAAATCATAGCTTGGAATCTCCAGCACCAGGAACCTGTTGGTACTTGCTTTAGGAATTTCCTCATTAAACTGCGATATCAACAATTGTGAAAAGCCGTCTCCTCCATTGCGGAACCAAACCCTGAATTACTCTGACCCCTAAGTAAAGCAAAGGATTGTTCACAAGGATTCTAAGAATCCTTTACTATCATTATCTCCTGGTATTGTCCACAAGAAAAAACTTTCATTTCATCGCTCATTCCTGCTTGTTTCATCGACCGACTTGGTAGCAAACTTTCCCTGACAGGAGTTGGAAGCGAGAGTGCGGTTGCTTACCTTGCACTTGGGCCAAGGGCTTAGCCCAAAAAATGCTGAGATTGAATTCGTGGGGGGGTTCTGAGATTGAATTCGTCAGCACTTGTCACTCTTCGTCTATTGCTCTTGACTTATGCAACTCGTTTTGCGTCCTGTGACTCGTCCGTCCAAGGAGACACACCACACAGTTGTTCCGCAGAGGAGAGCTGCGAGAAGATTGCCCTGTCTTTCAGTGAGATACCAACCAAACAATATCTAAATCTAGACCGCTGGTTCTTTGCAGGCAAGAGAATATGCACTGTCCTGTGCAATACACTTATGTCGGGTCTGTTTGCCCAATCTGCATGAACATTCTGCTACTAGACAGAACAAGTTGGCAATGCTTTGGGCTGATCAATTAATGTCAACATGTGTTTCATTTTGATGCATCAACTTTTGATGAGCAGGACATCAGGGCCATTGCGGCTCGAACTGAGGGCTTCAGTGGTGCTTTGGCAATTCAGTAGTTTGCCCCCTATACAGCGGAGGCAAGCTAAATCACCGCGTACAAGGCACGGCGTTGCTGGACTCGATCCCTTCCACCAACAGGTTAAACGATTTAAAAGTGTGGAAACTATTTGGTACTATGTTATTTAATGGCAACACCGCATTAATCAACGGGCCTCCCGCCCCTTCAAGGTCAACAAGGTTTGAGATTGGAGGTATTGGGGGATCACATCCCCTCAATAAAGATGATGACCTGATGATGGATGATGGTTGATATGATTATGTGTGAACACTGAGGCCTGTGAGAGGGGTACCCTTTGTGAGCTAGAAACCGTTAAGTTTTTGATAGAGTTTTAATAAGGGAAATGAAACACATTTGCTAGAGAGGCTTTTAGGGACCAGAAGATATTGGATACTAGCCAAAAAGAAAGTACATCAGAAAACACTATAAATATATAACAGTAAACAATATGTTTTTTGTTTCTGGGGCAGCTGGGATTGACTAATAGGGGAAGATTTCTGCCCAGGAAAACATAGTAGGGTGATGCCAAAGTTGAAATCTAGGTTTTAAATTAGTTCAGTATTAGGGGGGTCGAGCTTGGATTGATTAATAGGGGGTGGTTAGGGTGGTTACTTAATCCTGTGTGCGCATTAGTTTACTTTGTTGCAAAACAAAACAAATCGTGTCCGATCCCGCACCGTTTGGACGAACAAAGGTATGCTGTTTCCAACCTTTGCACCTTTGCTCTTGGTGAAGAGAACTTGTTTACTGCCCTGAAAAAGTCCAACATTTGCTGAAAAGGATTGATGTCTGCTTGCGAAGCAACTTGGCAGTGGAAAGTACACGTCAGTAGCGGCAGCGGTAACCCCTACAGTATTGATTTGATTTTTGATATATGCAATGCGTAGCATGGACAGGCTGTGCAAAGATGGTTACATTATGTTACATTTATGGTGCCCCATGCTTGCCTTTCCATTTATCACTCTGTGAGATTGTGAGATGGGGAAAACGCAACACTAGTCAATGTCAACAGGGAACACATTGAAAACGCACCTTCACTAAAAGAGTGGGGCCTCGAAGAAGGACGTATCTCGCGAACACGGGGAGGTGCCATTCGGTGTGCCATTTGGTGTGTTCGAACTGGAGTGTTTGCCTAGGTGCAGACATTTCAATCCTCACGCGAGATGCCCTTTTCGAGCAGTTTGGCCGCAATATTATTGGTGGGATTTGCATGAGGGAGCTGAAAGCTTCGTCTAGGCCAGACGCAAACAAACTGGCAAAGCCCTCTTGCAGCTTTTGCGGGTCTACTTTCTGTTAGGCATGAACTGGCTGGACAATGAATCCACAAGCCAAACTGGGTCGCCTACACACTTGATTTTTGGTTCTTTCAAAGTTCTTTCTTGATAATGTGCTGCAATGCGCTCGGACTGCTGCTTCTGAATGGATATTCTACTGTATGTTACTTTTGTATATACCTGAAGAAAGGAATCTCCGTACCCAGTTAAATGATGGTCAATGAAGTGCATGGTCCGATGATGTTCAAGATTCAATGATTTGTTCCTGTAATCAACACCTGGCTGGCAGTGCCCCTCCCACCAAAAGTTTGTTGTTTTCTCAAGAGCGCTGGAATGATAGTGCAATCCCTTTGAGAATTAGCATATTGTCATTGGCATACATACACCATATATAGCTATAACCTGCTTTCTTGTCTTTCGCTCAAGACAGTACAACGACAAGCAACTGCAGAGTTCGTGCGCGCGTTCCAACTTCTTCACTCTATGCACCGCTCCATTTCATCCAGAGGCCAGTGAGACGCTGTCAGCGTGCAATGGCCTTCAAGAGAGTCCAGAAAGGCAGAAAGCGGTGAAATTGCTTTGGTGCAGAAAGTCTTTAGAATGCATAACTCGGAGATACTAGGAGAGCTTCTGCAAACTTTTCATTTTGAGAGCTTTGGCAGGATGGGTGCACTAGCCGTTTATGAGGTCACGATGTTTGTTGTTCTTGTGCGATGTGCCAGCCAATTAATTCAACCGTGTTTCTGCTCCAATGTTGGCGGGCTACAGAATAGCTCGGGCAGCGACCTAGACTTCTATACCTGGAGCTCTTAGAACTGTTTTAGCTGGAGTGAGTACCTGGTCCGACCAGACATACTGCGGACCAGGAGACAAGACTTTCTGGACTCCTTGCAGCCCCGGAGACGGCGGCGCTGTCGCCATGAAATTGATGGATGCTCCAACCTTAGCTGGGATCCTGCCCATAATTGATTTGTCAAGTTTTCAGTCCAAGATGCAATGTCCAGCCCGGCACACTACATAGACATACATAGACCTATTTAGGCTTTTTCTAAGTACCAGAAAGTAGCGTTGCAACCAGAAATCAAAAGCGATTTTGGTTGCACTTAAGCTTGAGCCGAGTAGTATACTAGGTGAAGGTACCTTCAGTCAGCTTGGTTTGGATCAACACCGAGTGCTGCCATAGCTTTTGGATTTGCTGACTTTGGCATTCGGTTTGCTTGTTGGCCAGTGTTGTTGGATTTGGATTTTGCATACATTCTGCGGGCCAGGTCCCGGCAAGCGAGCTCCTGTCGCTTTTCTGACCTGTTTGTAATTGCCTTACAGTCATTTAACTTAACAGACAGCCCCTTCAAGCAAGTTTGTGAACATGTTTGCCTTGAGCTCATCGGGCTCCCATTTTTTCGGCTCATTGCTGGCCGACTCTGCTTTTGAAGACCATGGTCCTACTTGCACGACCCTGCAGACACGGCCAGGTTTTTTGGAGTTGACACGTGAAGATTCACACCATCAGTGGGCTATATTATGTGGATTTAAATGGTGTTGACAGCATTGAATTCAAGTCTGCCATGAATGGCAGTCTTTCTTTATCGCCCCCTCCCTCTCTCTCTCTCTCTTTTTGTGTAATGTAATGCAGGGTATCGTATTGTATGTGAGTCATGTAACGCATGTAATTCATGTAATGTATGTAATGTTGGTAATGGTAATGGCAATAGTAATGTATGGTATAGTAATGTATGTATGTGTTGTTATGCAATGCAATGCAATGTTAGTATATGTTAGTTATATATATATAAATGATGTAATATAATGTATGTGTGTAAACAGCGTGCAAGGTATTGTACATAGGCCGGTTCAAAATGCCAAGAAGACTGCCAAACTTCCATCAACTGCCAATTCCGGAGCACGAGGCACTAGTGAACTCTACTGTAAATGGTGCTGGAGCCTCCCCCAGCTACAGTAGCTGCTAGTCACGTCTTGATGGCTAGTTTTGGCAATCTTTGGTGTGTGCAATGTAGAAAACGGAGAACGCGCTGCTGGTGTTCACTAGGAGAGGCCATCTCCGAAGTTTTTTTGTCTCATACACCATGCGAACCTCCTAGCTACGTTGTAGTCAATCTTGTACCCTCGCTGCAGGGCTCAAGAGCCGGTTTGCGTCCACCTCATGGTTCGGAAGTGCCTTTTTATAGCCCAGATGAATACTGTTTGCCGTTGTATTGTACAGGCTCTTCATATCCACCCTTTGGCAATTTGGGCCCATTTGGGCGCCGCAATGGATTTGTTGTCACATTATGGTGCCCCAAAAGGGGCAGAGGATAGCTGCATGTTAGCAGGTTACCGACTGAGTGGAGTTTCAAGGCCGGTAAAAAAGTAACCTCCAATTGTTCCTAGTAGCTTCTTGTTAATAGCAGAAATGCCAGGAGCTACTAGTAGCGATATTGCGTAGCGATGCCCTTTGTTCCTAGTAGCTTCTAGTTGTCAAAAGCTACATGCCAGGCCGGATGTCATACCCTCCGACTTTGAGGCCCGTGGACAGTTCTGGAGAATGTGTTCATGCTTGCCATGTCCGCTCCAGAAGCATGTTTTGTCAACGGACAACGAAGAACTGCAGTGGCTTGACAGGTCCAGACTAAGGTTTCGAGAGTCAACGGCTGAAACAGGATTTTTGTGAAGGAAACCTTTGGCACTACCTTTGGCCAATCGACGCTGGGAGATTCACGAAACAAACTCAGCCAATCGAGGCTGCCCTGGAGAAGGTGCGCCCGAGTGTGAGCCCCGCTGACTTGAAAGAGCATGAGGCGCGGTTTGAGGCTAGTGATGTTCCTCGAAATTGTTTCACGGATCGCATATAATAGATCTACCCAACCTCAGGAAATTAATCAGGGTCCCCTACTGAGTTAGCGAATTATTTCTCATTACAGTAGTTGTTCAATGTTGTTGAAAAGTGCTGAGGTATACCCATCAAACATGTTATATTGACAAATTAGTTTAGGCAAATCAACAAGAACCGCTCGTACGCAACAGGGGATCCAATTAATTACTGGTAGGATAATTTGGAGGTTTGCTCTGCGAACTGGGGGGGCTTGATTAATTTCTGGCAGTTGTGGAAGAAGAAACGAAAACAGAGGTCTGACAGGAGTCAACCACTAGTGAAGTAATTATTGTGAATATTTGTGAATATACATGGTGAGGTGGTTGACGTGGCACGTGACGGCACGTGCCCAATTCTTTAACAAAAACGCAGGTTAAGGTCCCCCCAATTAATATAATAGACTCTACTCTACCCCTACTCATACCTCCCTGAATCAACAAGCGTGCTATGGCTTAATTCAACACTTGCAAGTGTCTCCATTTATTTGCTCAGGTACCCAGAATAATTTTAAGAAATCCTGGAGGGGCTAACGGATGCGCCACCAAGGGAGGGAACAGTATGAATTTATATATTATATATATACAGTACACGCAAATATTACAAGGAGCCTCAGCCTCATGCATTTTTTGTATGTGTTGGGTGCTTGACCTGGTTTCATTGTACAGTACTTACGGCGCAAAGCCTTTCTTTTGCACTGTTGCATTTTTCCATGACCAAGCAACTGCATTTGTGGACACCAATTATTGGGCCGGTAGACCTACAGTTTGCTTGTTTCTCCTGGTATGCGCAGTGCTTCGAAGCGTTCATGTTCTTTTGTTCAGCAATTCTTGGGACTCTTCTTGGTCTCAGATGTTGCGCAACGTTTTTCAACATGTGTTTATGCAATGACGTTGTCTACTCGCTGCCGTTTGCCGCAGTTCATTGGGGCAATATTAAATTGATAAGGTCAGGGACAGGCGTGAGTGGAGACTTAGACACTCCCGCTTCGGAGTTTTTGAGTCTGATATGTATAATCGTTTCGTGTTGAAGTT